ACGTAACGTAACTAACGTAACTAACGTAATTAAGTTAAGTAAGTAAAGTAAAGTAAAAGTAAAAAAGTAAAAAGTAAAAAGTAAACGTAACGTACGTACTCTCTCTCTCTCTCTCTCTCTCTCTCTCTCTCTCTCTCTCTCTCTCTCTCTATATATATATATATATATATATATATATATGGCTTTGTGAGACCCTCCCACATAGGACCTCAAAGGACTACCATTAAATTTGACAAATATCTCTAGAAAAGTCAAATCCCACACCAATGTGATAATTTTTCTAGATATCTGTGTCAAATTTAATGGTGATCATTTGGGGTCCTACACATATAGGTGTGGGAGGGTCTCATAGGATCATTACTCATATGTATATATATTATTTTAAAAAAAAACCCGAATAAAAAATCTTTGATTTTTCTCTAATTTTTTCATCAAATTAGTTCAAATTTGTCACAAAATGTTGTTATCATATTGATCTATAAAGGCCTAACAATTATATTGATTTTTGGTTGATTTTGGCACGCCTTTCTTTCTAAAATGCTTCTCTTATTTGTACCTCTTATAGTATGATTTTCAATTTGTATTTTTCCATATCTTTTGGCTATTTTTTCTTTCTTTTTGTTTTTCTGATTTTCTAATATTGATTGAGTTAGCATCGGCTCGACCAACTCGGACTCGGCAAGCACCTTGTTCGGGTACCCGAGCTGGGCTTTTAAACACTGATATGTACCATTAAGTCAGATGCATTGGCATTAAGACTTGCAGGCCTGCCTAAGTTCCCACCATTCTCATGGTTTTATTCTCTTATTTAATAAAAGAAAAAATTTATACAGAGCGAAGGCTGTAAACAATCAAATTAGATCCCACCTCAAAAATTTTATCAGAATGTGTTGTTTTGATGCCCAAATATCCTCAAATTGAGCATCTCCTCATCAAGATGAATAAACATGAGAAAAAAAAAAATTGGATTTCAAGTTTTGGAAATAGTGCTTCTTATAACGTATTTTTGGAAGTCAATTTTCAAGATTTTCAAGTTTTTATAGATTTGCTCGATCTACACTATTTTGTAATCTTTAAATTTTATAATTAAAGATAAAGATTTTTAAGACTATCACAAGATTTTCAGTATTGAAACCACATTTCTCCACATTATTTGAAGGTACACTTTACTTTGATTATTTAGAGCCTTGGCTTATACGAACCACACCTTTTAATAAAGAGTAAAGTATAGAATAAGACTATTTATCTTTGATACAATGTGGTCACATTAATCTTGACCATTGGATGTCAAATTGGGCGGCTGTAATTGTTTTATTGATCAAGCTCAAATTTTAATAGAATTTTTCTCGAACTTTATGACACATCCAAGCTATTAAATTTCACATCACATGGTTGAAAAGAATTGTAACCATCTTGTATCAAAGATAAATTGTCTCATTATACACCATCCCTTAATAAAACCCCTAAAAAAATAGGAAGTGATATCCAAATCAGTAATTTACTACTTTGATCCTTCAATCCCATTTTCAAAACAATGGGGGACCAACTGTAGATAATAGAACCCAATCTTATATAATTACCCCCCATCAATTGAGGCATTGGATATAGGTGAATTAATTCAAATTAAGGTGAAGTGGGCGCACCTGGAGACTGAATTATTATGTCATCGGGGATGAAGCTCACCTATCATAAAAGGAAAAAAGTTTATATAAAGATGCAACTTTATAATGTAGAATTATGGATGCCTCTAAAAAATCTATCGAAAAAGGTAGTTTTAATGTTGAAAACTCTTTGATTGATGATCTCGACATCGAGATGTATGACTATGCAAAATCAAAAGATTGTAAATATTAAAAATAGTGTATTTTACAACATATTCCTCGAACATCAATATAAACCCGAAAATATAGTGTGGGACCCAGACTTGGACCTTGGACCAAGTCCAAAAATTAAAATATCTATGTATTTAATTATATTTAAATATATTTTATATATTAAGACCAAAAAACATATTAAGATACTCGGATTCGGATGTGGACCCAATAAGACCCGAACCCAAATAAGTATTTGACTCCTAAACCCAAACCCAATCCACCGCGTCAAATATTTGGACCCCTACCCAAAACCCGATTGGATCGACCTCTCGGGTCCCAGGTCAGGTCCGGGTCCATTACCACCCCTTGACGTTTAAGGCAGAAATGGCCATGCTCCTCTGTTTTGGCCGAGACCTAAGACCAATCCCACTTGGTTTAGGTCTCGAAAAAGACGAGGTGTGGCCTTCCGAGAGGCCTCAAACACAACACACAGGTGCCCATCTTCGCTTCTCTTCACAGAAACGAATGGTAAAGCAAGAAACTGGACTCCAAGGAAACGAAAAAGGAGAGAGAGAGAGAGTAATGAGTAGCGGTGTAGCAGTACCTCTGTGAAATTTGAAAGATGGGTTCTTCGGCCGAGACTGGGATCCCCCATTTGGAAACAGAAGACTTGTTTGGCGATCAGAAGAAGCGCGTCAGAAACCCCCTCGTACCAATCGGTAATTCCCCCACTCTTTTACCCTCTGCTTTTTTTTCTGATAATGCTTTAAATTTGTGTAATAATAATAATTCATAAAATAGTACAAAAATCTTCTGCATATTTTCTATTCAAGTTTCCATGAATATATTTGAGTCTTTTGATTTTCTTTTTGGTAATGATTGCGAGTAAAAATCCTCAGAAGTTAGCTTCTGCTTTTTTTATGTAAGGTAAATTAACACGTTTTTCTAATATACAGCACCCAACTGGGAAAATTACAAATTGTGGGAGAAAAACATGAAATTGTAGGTTGAGCTTGTTTTATGTTTTATCTGCTGTGGAAGAACCATATCTCTGAGTTACAAATTTTGGAATGTGGGAACGGGTTGCTTGTTGAAAGGTTCATGAGCTTGCTGTGGGTTGTTGTAGATCTTGAGTGAGAGATTACTTTGTGAGAGTGGTCTGAGGTATGGTGTGGAACCTGATGCTTTAGGGCTTAGGGAGCTCGTGTAGTTGATTTTCGAGTTGCTATGGGGCCTGTATGTGCCTATCAGTAGCGGGGAATGGTGTTCTTGGTAATGTGATGGTGCAAGTATTTTTTTTATCCCAAAATCCTTCTGTGGTTGCAATATGAGATGTGTCGAGGACTTGTGGAACCCCTATTGTCCAGACATTTGGTTGGATTGTGGGCTCAAATTAAAACTTTAACTTCACTGGTTTTCCTCTCTTGATTGGAAAGTTGGTACAAGAAGAAGAGGTTCCACTGTAGATTCTTCCGATTGAACAACTTATCTGGAGTACATTTCTTAGTGGCATTTAAACTTACAACTGCTGGGCTTTCAGGAAGCTACCAAATATGTCCGTGCCATGCCTGAAGGAGTCATGGTCCGTGGGACATTTACTTTTTCATTCACTGGTATGCCACTGCAATTTAGTCCTATGTGTTGTGATCCTTTAGGAAGGAATGGCAGTGCTTGGGTTGATAGAGACTTTCCTGAGGGGTTGGATGCTCTTACCATTGCCCCGGGGTTTAAAGTCATTGGAAGCTTTTGAGTCTTGCCATATTGTGTGATGTTTGGAAAAGAATGTAGTATTCACATATTCAAAGGGCTGGGGATTGGATGAGAGGGTGCTCTGGGGGAGGATTAAGGACTTTGAACCATTATGTGGGCTCCTATCTATTTGTACTTCCTGGGGGTTTGTGCCGAATTTGGTGAGTGATTGGTGGCCTAGTCATTCTCTGTCTCTCTAGAAGCAGGACCATGGTGGTGTGGCTGAAGCAGGTGAAGGGCTCAATCAAACCTAATTATGATGGATGTTCTTGTGGTTATCCAGGTACGGTAGGTTACAAGTGTCCTATCATGGGCAATGATGGGAATATTTTGATGTTATATTCCGATCTAATGCAGACATGTGATTCTAGAATCGAGGAGACTTATACTTTTCTGATGGGTATAGTTTGTGCCATTGTAGTGGAGGCTACCCGTCATTGTTGATCGTGAATTGTGATTGTGTTAGCGTCGTTCGGTGGGCTCACAATGAAGCGCATTTACTTTGGTGATTTCAATAGATTTTGATGGTTGCACCGGATATGATTTGTCATTTATGAATGTTCTTAGGGAGCCAGATGATAGGATGAACAATTTAGCCAAGCATTGGGTTGAGAGGGTGTTGTATATGTTTCTTAGTTTGTCTTTGCATTGTTGCCTTGAGACCCCATTGACCTTTTCTTTGCTATTCTACTTGCTTGTTTCTCTATTTTTCTCGACAAATTTGTTACTTATTAGAAAAAACTCATGATTACCACAGTTAGAATTGGGTTCCATTAGTCTATGTGCGTCATGCAATGAACTAGTAGCTTATTGGAATAGCAATAATATATATTAGGCAATTACAGTAGAATACAATATAGTATAATGCAATCATATGAAATGCATATAAATTATTCTTCATTGATACTGAGCTTAGAATTACTAACTGATTTCTACCTTAATGTTGGAAAACATATCAAACAATCAGTCCATAGTCTATAGAGTATAGACTAACTGACAAGCTTATGTTCTCAATATTCTCAAGCAATTGGTGATTTAGTGAATTTTAAAGCTTATAAACATCAGTTTTTGTTGTAGGATTAAATTATTTCGGATCAGTAGTTTGGAATAGCGTCAACATCTGGTGAATATGAATATTGTCGCCCTTGTAGAATATTTATGTTTGCAAAGAGTACGAACAAGGAAGAGCATCATGCATCCTAGGATGAGAACTTAAGAATTTCAAGCATCAATGTTTGTTACAGAGTTAATGTTCTTGTAGAATATATCGACACTGTTGATATTCTGGTATACTCTTCTTAGTTCCTGTAAATGAATGATAGAATTGGTAATCAGTTCTTCAGTCTGATATTGTACAATATTATTTGATATCAAATCGTACAATTGTAATATAAAGGTTTCATGGAAAACTGGAAAGGTTGTTTCTTTTTTGGTAAAATTTGGATGTTAACCAATCCAGATCAAACCCAAGATGTGAAAAATTAGTGCATTGTTTAAGATTTAATTTCTTTTATTAAATGATGAATAGATAAATATTATATATTTCACACTTCTTAAGCAATTATTTGATGGCCAAACACATGGTGATCCTGCTCGCACTTTCTTGCCTCTCTAAAGCTTCCATGAAATTACAACTAGATATTTGATATGGCAGATGGTCGCATTGCTTGACAGAGCATTTATGGTTCCCAGATCCATAGAGTAATAGGATGAAGATAAGATATTTTTATCATTGTTTTACTCTTCACTATGGTAATGAAAGTTCTTATTAAGTAGCTTAGGGAAAAGGTAAACCAGTAATTTTTTAAAATTGGGTTTCCAAAGTAGGTCAACTAGTGTTGCCACTCGTGGTTCAAAAGTAAAATATATATCCAGCACAGTATCCTCAACTCTAAAAGAATTTCAATTATGATAGGGATCCTGGGTTTGAGGGATGACACTCCATGCACATGGGTGTCACAACTTCGTAGCAGTTTAGCTCTTAATCTGTCCAAACATGAGTTGAGCAGGACTACATTCACAAATGGTGGTCTTGGTAACTATGGTCCAATCCTCAAATGGTCTTTGCCTTTTTTGAGAAATCATATGGTCATCCCTTCTGATGTCCGTTTCATATTCACACACCAACTGAATAATTGTTCCTTCTTATGGGGCTTAGTGAACATGTTATCATAAGAGCCTTCTTGAAGCCATCCCTTCCATACAGTGCGTGCATTGGCAATCAAAGCCTTGGGAGCTTGCCCAAGTCCATGTGTAGCCATCTTCAGTTGACATACCAAGCTCTTAAAGGTGGAAAAATCTAGCTCATGTGGTGGAATCTTGTACACCTCATCTAGAATCTAGATCATCATGACGTTGGTAGGAGAGGCTAATTAAGAGTGGCCATGGACATATTATGGTCTCTTTATAATGGCAACAGGTTCAAAAGCCTTTGAAAATCAATCCCTTATTTCTGTTGGTAGGCATGGCTTCATTGGTTACCCATCTAACCTTATATCTTTTGATGCTTCTGCTGTAGGAGAGGTTAATTAAGAGTGGCAAAGGACATATTATGGTTTCTTCATAATGGCAACATGTTGCAAAGCCTTTGAAAATCAACCCTCATTTCTGTAGGTAGTCATTGCTTACGTGTCTAGCCTTGCATCCTTTGATGCTTCTGTCTTGCTTCTGTTTGATTTTGTAATTTGTCTACATCTCATGGGTCTCTTCGTCTTTGGTTGCTTTATTAATTCTGAGGTGGAATTCGTTTTCCAGGGTTCTGAGTTCCTCTTGTCTGTTGCCAACACAGAAAAGCAAATGTCATTTTAAGGAATATATCTCCTTAATTGCTGTAAATGAAGCAGTAAAGTGCTCTGAGTTTGAGAAAAATGTGTAAGAATTAAACTTCTCGACAGGAAATTGGATTTGTTGAGAGTAATGGACATACTAATTTCAGTGAAGCCTCAACCATAAATGAATCAGCTCTGGTTGGAGAAATAGAATTATCCCTTGGGTTCAGATGCATCTTCCTACGAGAGTAAGATAAATATGAGTGCCTCCTGTAGAAGTGGATCACAGTGATCAATGGGGTCACTATGAAGTTTGGTTTGTGGTTTTTCCCTTGACTTGAGCATAGACCTTAGTGATATCCTACTTAATTAATGGCAAGTTAGCTGGGACTGCATGTAAGAGTAATTCAAATAAGGACAAGTTATTTTTGCTCAATGTGGGGTATAATAATCAGAGGTATTACTGTGAAGAAGGTTGATTTGGATATGCTCTCCTGATTCAAACATAAGCCTTGGTAGTATTCCATCTAAATCTGGGTCACCTAAGACTGCCCCTGATTTGGAAGGGAAGTAAGCTTTAGAGTGAGATGATGTGATTGCTATTTGAAGAAACATTCTTGCTTATTAATTGTGACTTCAAGAATGCACAATAGTACATGCTCATTGATTAAAATGCATATAACCTCTCTCTCTTGGGGAGTGTCCGTGAAATGTACTAGTAGCAGCAGAAGTAAGTTTTAATGGGAAAAAAGATATGCACGTGATAATATGAAGGAAAGAGTTATGCCACAGCACCTCATCCTAAAACATTTTGGTACATTTATTTGAAGAGTTGGGGACATGCAGCTTCAAGTAAATGTTTTTAATTTCACTCAACCTACCTGTATTTATGGGCATTAAACTGATCAAGAGTATGTTTTACTGGTAGAAATATAGTTACCGGGATCTTCCAAATAGGTGGCGATCCCACTCTGAGATTTAATTCCTGCGTTTGGGAAAGGGATCTCAATTTCTAAATTTTGGGATCCCTATCCTACTGTTAGGGATCCCCGTTCCCACTGTTGGGGATCTCAATCTCAATCTTAAAGACTAAGACGATAACCAAACTGATGATTTTCTTTATTTATAGCCAGTTAACCACACAACTATATATTTGCATTGCTGGATGGCTATAAACAAAGAGATACCTACTTTAAAGAGTATATAAAATCCTAGATCCCAAAAGGTCAGGATCAAGATCCCCAAAAAGTTGGGATCTCGATCCTTAACATTTGGGGATCTTCACCCCTAATGTATGCATTGTACGGACGAAGCTCCCAACCATGGAGATCTTCTTGAGTTTCACGATCCCCTGCTCCCGCTCCTGATCCTGATTCTGCTTGTGGCCCTGCTCTCAAACCCAACAACTATAATCACTAAAAAGTCACATTCATGTCGAACCTTAGAGTTGCAATGAATTTTCAAATTAATTTTTCACCATGTGGAAAATATTTGACAAAACTTCTAGTTTCTTTTGGATAAATACAATTATTTTGTTGTAGTTCTTCAAACAAAATGAACATGGCAAAGATGAGATAGCAAAGGTGCGGGCTCCATACATTGGAGTGGAATGAGTTTAAAACATATAACTCTGTTACTTTGAAAAGGTACTTTACACTGCTTGTCCCAAATCCATTTTGTATCAGTGAAGTCCTTCTAGACTGATATGCCGGGCAGAGTTTCTATATAATTGTTAGTTGGATTTCTTGTCATTCAGTTAAACTAAGTATGCATGTAAAACATCAAAATCCATACAGAAGACCATCAGGTTGATCTACTGTTAGGAATAGATTTTCTCCAGGGGAGTGTTGTTTTTGTTTGAGAGAAATTTGCTAAATATTTATATTAAAGTATTTCTTATCATTCAGTTAAACTAAGTATATGCATGTAAAACATCAAAGTGCATACAGAAGGACCATCAGGTTGATCTACTGTTAGGAACAGATTTTGTTCAGGGGAATGTTTTTTTTTTTTGAGAGAAATTTACTCAATATTTATATTAAAGTGGCTATTTAAAAAAGTTTAAAATGCTAATTTATATTTCCTAGAAACAATTTTTAATGTTGGAGAAACAAGGGTCATACATTGCACACTTGGATCATGGAGAAAGACTAAATGGTTCTGTTCAACACTTTCCTGTTGTCATTTTAAGTATTTTATATACATCATAGATTACATAATCTTTGTCCAAGTGCATGTAACTGTGCAATAACCAAAGCCACTAATTTGTTAATTTCCATTTTATTTTATTTTATTTTAGTTTTTTATTTTTTGTCTTAGTCATTGAGAGTAGCATAATTTTACAGAATCCACAAAATATGGCAATAATATCCTGTTTTCAAATGACATAATTGGCATTAATATTTGAGACTTTATCATTAATGTGAAGCATCCCCCATGATGTAGGTTTTTAGATTTATGGTATTCTTTGCCTTCTTAAATTTTTGTACCTCATTGCGTTTTCAATAAATTTTCCATATTTTTTTATGGGCTTAGTTTTCTTTTCTGATTTATGCTTTACCATGTTGGTGTAAGCATTGTTGCTCATCTTGCATCTCTCCTTACCTCCATTCTTGGGAATCTATAAAGCACCCTTGTCCCCTGTCTATGTTTAGGCATTTTACTCTCTTTTCAAATTCTTAAATTTCAGGCTTTAGACTTCCTGGGCTCTTGTATGTTTTCCTTTGTTGGGTTTGAGTTTTGAGTCTTTCAATTACAATGTATATGCCTGCGACCAACAAATGTTGAATCTTGAATCAGCCTTTGTCCATGGAATATATTAACATGTCAGAACCACCTCTAGCATCTGAGTCTATAAAGCCATTGGAGTCCTATAGAATCTGTGTCCTTAAACCTCATCTGAAATCTTAAGTGGAAAATGCTCATGCTTGCTGTAAATCTGCCTACATTAGTGACATTTAACTCAATTCTTTTCTCTGTCAGTGTCGTTATATGGCTGCTGCTCTATTTCTTCTCTGAATTTACTGAAAGTTAGTTCTATTTATCACTATAATGGACTAGCGCTTCTCTAAATTTGGCCCACACTGGATAATGTTATCATCTGGCATATTTAGTGTTATTGGAGTTCTTTTCATGCTGTGATGTTCTATCGCAGGTGCCCTTTTAACTGCAGGGGTTCTTACTGCAGGCTTGGTCAGTTTCAGGCAAGGGAATTCTCAGTTGGGTCAGAAACTTATGAGAGCTCGTGTGGTTGTCCAAGGAGCCACTGTTGCACTAATGGTCGGTACTGCTTATTACTATGGGGAAAAATTATAGTGGGATTTTAACTTCTCCTGGGATATGATAATGCTGTAATGAATCTAAAATTATTCTTGTCAGTTTCTTCTCTTCATTGAATCATGAAATGATACCTATGTTGATGGATTTTTCATAGGTTTAATCAAATAAAAAGGAAATTTTGGATAAGAAATTTCTGAAGAAGATTAATTTAGAGCAATACGAAGATCATTCTATGCATCTCCTAGCTGTATATTCGTAAGATGAGCTATTTTACATTATTTTCAAGAGCATCAATTTCCTCTCTTCCTCTTTCTTTGTCTGCTACCAGTATTGTCAAGGAAATGCTACCTTTGAGATTTATTTTAATGGATCGAAGAAAATCTGATGTGCAGCTCCTTAAACTTTCCTGCCACTAGAAATTATTGGAATGAAGCATGAGTAACTATGAAGAAAGGTAGAAAATCACACATGGAAAACATTCTTTCTATGGGATACTTGGCTCAAGTTGATCTACAGGTACCAGAGAGATGAGTCATCAAGGAAATGATATAGGATTTAGTAGCCAAGGATGTTCACTTCTCTTTATTCTGACAGGAAATCGAGGATAGTTTAGCTTTGGAGCATAAGATAAATCAAAAGCATAGGTACTTTTGTAATTAATAGAACTAAGTTATAAAAGTTACTAATGGTTTTACAACTACCAATCAAAAAAAGAAAAAAGATACATCCAAGAAATACTTGGTATTGTTACAAGGCTAAAATGTTTGTGAAGTAGAGCTCCGAAGGAGTTTTACTTTATACAGAAGTAGCCCTATTCAGTATGGTGTCAATATTCTAGAAGCCATATATATAGAATCCCTGTCGATGATCCTCAATGAACTCACTGCTTGATGGCAAAAACTCGTGCTCTCCATGTCCCTCATTCTCTGCTTTCTCTTCCTTGCTCGAACTTCGTCTTTGATACTTTATGAGGACCATCACAACAATAGTTGTGGTCAAGCCCACCAAACCAAGCAACCCTAAAGACACTGGTAACCACAAAGTGGCCTTACCAAAGGGCACTATCACCGCCATGGCTGCCATGAAACCAATCAACATAAACCCAATCGCCACCCTCATCAACCTCTGTGTGATTTCTAACAAAGTCCTCATAGGGCGATTTCGAAATGCTACGACACTCGCCCAAATGAAGATGATGGCAAGAGATGCAAAGAGAGCTGCACTATCACATACTACAAACACCTTAAATGCCAGTGTTTGTGCCTTGATGGCTTCTCCTGCTTCTTCATGATCTTGGTACACACCTCCTGGAGGGCTCATAGCTGCAGAGAATGTGACGGTGGCGATTAGCACTGCTACAACTGTGATCGTGTTCCTAGCATTCCTCAGACTCTCAGTGAGGTGCTCTGAGTGGCGTCGCAATAGAAACTTTGATCTCCTGCTTAGGAGTGTCTCGGGTGTATTAGACAGCATGTGTAGAGAGAGGTTCTCATGTTCAAACCTAAAGCTATGCATGGGAGAATGTGGTATGGATTGGACACTTCGGGTGGTCTTTGAAGTGGGGGAGTGAGTGGGAGCCCACCAAGGGGGCAGCTCGAGAGGTGGCGAGTCCTTTAGTGGGAGCAATACCGAGGAGGAGGGCAGCATGTCTCGACCCACTTGGGCCCCAGTCTTCATTAGCATGTCCCCCAGTTCCATGTCTTGCGGGTTGTTCCAGTCGAGCTCCAATAAGTCGATGGCTGTGAATCCATCGCGGTTGGTTGCATTCACCTGGACTGGGGTGTTTTTGAGTAGGAAATGCACTATCTGCTCAACAAAAGTGAGCTATATAAGATAAAGCACATCATTTATTTTCTGGAGTCTATTTTAGTTGCTGTTATGCAAAGAGAGTGGTTGATATATAAGGTTCTGACATGCAGATTCGTTGAAGGTTACTGTAAACTGTCCTTCAACCTTGGTTAATGCCTAACCAGGTTCAGATAAACCCAAGTTACAACTTAGCCAAGACTATAGGATGATAGAGGTCAATCCCCACATGCATTTTGTACGAGACACCTCACACATCTAGCAGCAAAGGCACCAGCTGAGGGATTTGATCCGAAAATCGGGGAAATTGTGTTAAAGGTTTTGGCCGAGCAAGTATACAAAAACTCTTAAACTTGGTGGCTGACTCGATCATTGCTAAAATGCGTTAATTTGCCGAGATAAGCGGTAAACTATGGAGTATTGCCACCCTGGAAAAAACCATGTATTTGTCTTTTTTTTTTCTTTTAATTTGCATTTGTCTTACTAAGCTGAGTATATTATATATGAAGAAACATTGCACGTTCCAAATGTTTGATATAGCACTCGCCCTCCTGGTGGATATTTGAGTTGACTTGTACGAGTTTTTCATTTTGGTACGAGTTTCTACTCACTGAGCCAAATTTTGCATAAAAGTTTTGAGTTTGGGACATCAGAGCTTGCCTGAACGTCTCTCACAGCTGTTGCAAGATGTAACACCGTATTTCCGTTGTTATCTGGCTGGTTGACGATGCTACTCCCTAGCATCTGCACACACCACCTCACCGCTTCGAGCTGTCCCGCCTTCCCACTGACATGCAACACAGTCTCCCCTTGATCTGTTAAGATCCCCAAACACTCTTGATTAATATTCACCATCAATCCCAGAACACCTAGCTGACCGTTAATTGCAGCAGAGTGCACAGGTGTACGACCACCTCTGTCACGAGCTATGCAGAGGCCAGGCTCAGTGCGCAGAAGGATGGCCACAGTTTCTTCATGACCCGCGGCTGCAGCCACGTGAAGGGGGGAGAAACCTTGGCGGTTGGGCTTGGCTGCAAGGTCAGGGCAAAGGGTGAGGAGGGTGTTGATGAGGCCAGCATGGCCAAAGTGTGCTGCGAGGTGCAGCACGGTCTCAGCGGAGGGCGCTGTCTGTTGGCGAAGGATGAGGGGGTTGTGCTTGGCAAGGTCGAGTATGGTTGCGGTGTCACCTGTTGTGCAGGCTACATGGAGGATGGTGTCCATGCCGGTTGAAGATTGGGTGATGGTGGAGGAGGACTAGGGTTTTTGGTGTGGAGAAGGTTGGTTCTCTGTGGTGCAATCATGGGTCCTGGTTGCGTTCTTGTAAAGCTGTGGAGTGAGAGACCTGCACGTTGCCTGAGTTTAGTCTTGTTTGTGGTTGTTGACTTTCTTCCTTCACTACTCTCTCTTTCTAGCTCTGTTTGTTAGAAGGACAAAATTTATTGGTCTGAACGCAAGGAGGCCATTAGATGGTTTGCTTTAGTTTCTTTGTGGGCCATTAGCTGAGACGCGTCTATTCATGCTAAAATGAATCGAGCTGGCATGGCCTGGGCCCAGCCAACCCCGCCCTAGGCGGGCCCAACCCTGGCCCTAGACCGGCCCAACCCTGGCCCTAGACCGGCCCAACCTTGGCACAGACCTGATTGGGCCAAAGGGGCCGTGGCCCAAGCCCAGCACTAGCCCTGTCAGGGCCAAGCTGAGCCAAATACGATTCAATAGAAAACGATAGCAAAAAAAAAAAAAAAAAGAAGGGTCAAGCTCCAAACTAGGCCCTTGGCCTGGTATGTCCCTAGCCGTGGGCAGTGGTTGCCTGGCCCTAACTTGGCCTTGGGCCACATCTTGTTGCCCAGGTCCTAGTTTTTTAGGGCCACATCTACTAGGCTGCCCGGCTCATTATCAGCACTAAAAGAAAATTGTTTCTATGAAAGAGCTTTTCAGGGTCATGGGAGAAGTTTGTTCTCGGATGAGAGCTTTTCCATAGGCCTCGAAAAGTGGTTTCACATTGAGGTGGAGGCCGTCTTTCTTGTAAAAATTTATGGAGCCTTAGAAAGACTGGGAAATTACTTTACCAACTGCTCCACTAAGCTTTTGTCGTAAAATAAACATGAAAAGTGGTAGCTCAGCTGGAAAGAACGTTCTCAACAGTGTTCTGGGACTCGGCCGAGTTACTCGGTTTTGCATAGGGTTAATTTTCAATTTTTTTTGTTTTTTGGGTAAGTGGCTAATTTTCATTATTGGATAATGTAGATGGTTCCTTTCCATCACGTTGAGCTTCGAATTCCCTTTTTATTTATTATATAAAATAATATGTCAATTTTGACTCAAAAACGTTTCAAATCATGTTTACTTGCCATTATGTTGAGGCTTCGGATCTAATACTTTGTTTTTTTAAAGCCTAGCCTTTTTTAAGGGGTTCAGAAAACAAGAGGCCTGGGGATCGAACCTGAGACCTCTTGGGTGAAGAGGCACGCAAAAATGGCACAACTAACCAAGAAGTTACTCTGATTTGAAGAAGAGGAGGATTGATATTAGGAAAAAGTTTATATAAGGTTGCAACCTTAAAATGTAGAATTATATATGCCCCTCAAAAATCCATTGGAAAAGGTTGTTTTAATGTTGAATAACTCTCTAATTGATCATTTCGACATCGAGATGTATAAATATATATAACAAAAGATTTTGAGTCTCAGAAATAATGCATCTTGCAAATGATTATCTAGACGGTCCATTTTCAAGAGGTGCATATGTTTATAGATTTACTTGATTTTAACAATTTTTGGAGTTAAAATTTTTATAGTTAAATACAAAATAGATTTTAAGATAATATTAAGAATTTTTTAAACCAAAATTATATGTTATGATAAAATTTGGAGGGACTTCTTAATTGGATTGTTTAAGATTGCAAGAAACTACACTTTTTATATTATTTAAAAAACTATTTGAAGAGGCTCTTTATTTTTGGTACAAGGACGTCACAATCACTCATATCTTTTGGATTTTAATTTGGGTGGCTGTGAATATGTCATTGACTAGTCTTAAAGTTCACTTTGTTTTTCGAACTTTGTGATATATCATTGACATCTAATGATGAAGAATAACTCGTGGTATGCAATCCCATATCATATATACTAATTCTTTTGTCTTTATTTTTATATTTTTTATCAAGTTGGATTTAGGTGAGTTACTCAAACTCACCTAAGTAACACGCATCGGCCAATATCCGAGTACTGAGACTGGGGCGAGTTCTGGTACATTGGCTCACAAAAAGTTCTTTCCCACTTAACAATTGTGCCCCAGAGTTAAGTGAGACTTGTGGCATTTGCGCGATCTTGGTAGGAAACATTGATAGCACCTATGCATATACGACGACAAGAAGGTTTTGAAAAAGCTTGGTTACGTATGCTAACTTTTGGGTTAAACAAGAGAAAATGGTCGGTAAATAATACGTTTTAAACAGTTCAAAATCTATTTCTCAGCACCATCTTGCTAGAATATGTTATGGACAAATGACCTCGTTTGGATGTACAAACCACAACCGAGAAACAACATTTACTTTGGCTTGGTTCTATATTGCAGAGAGTCTACGCAATCTAGAGAACCTTGCTAAAAACTCAAAAAATTCCAAGTTGGGTCATTAATTATATTAAAGAAAACTACACATTATTGTGCCTCCATTAACTAGGACACGTCAGAGTCTTCGATTTTTGGGTCTCATAAATATATATTACATTTAGCATATTTCAAGATATGAGGATTTATTATCTCACTGATGGTATGACATTTAATAAAACTGAATGGCGGATTGTGTAACTGATCCCAATTAGTTGAAAAATGTCTGATGATATTTTAAGAGCATATTTGACTTTTATATGTATATATATAAAGATTAAATACAAAAAATATATTCTTCCTTGTAATTTAATTTTAATATAAAAATCAAATTCTTTTCTATTAGCAAAATATGAAAATTTGAATTACTTGCAGGCTTCTTTGTTCCAACAGAGTAAGGAGGAGAGAGGAAAGAAAGAAAGTGAGAGAGAGAAACAACTCAACGGGCCAACAGTAATTTGAATTACTTGCATGCTTCTTCTTCTAAAATTTGTCATCTTTCTGCAGATGAGCTCCGCAAACATTGATTTTTTAGGGCTCGTTTGGCTTAGGTTTTGAATCAAAACCTTATTATGTTAAAACCTGGTTGCTCAAACAGAACTTGTTTTGATGACTTTGAATGGTACCCATGTTGCGCAAATCTGTTGTTTGGATCATTTTTTGTATAACCTGGTTTGCTATTGCACTTAGTGTGAGAACATAACAAACTTGAAATTTTGAGATAGTTTTTCTATCTAAAACATTTGAGATAGTTTCTCTTTTTAAAAAGTTAAAATTTGATATAGTTTATCTCTCTAAAAAAAAATGAGACAATTTCTCTCTAAAATTCTGAAATTTCAAATAGTTGAAAATTTTTATCTCCAAAATTTTTGAGATAGTTTCTATATCTAAAAATTTTCAGGTAATTTCTCTCTATAAAAATTGATATAGTTTCTCTCACAAAATTATTAAGATAATTTAAAATTTGAGATAGTTTCTCTAGAAATTTTGAGATTGTTTCTCTCTTTAAAATTTTTAGGTAATTAGATATGGTTTTCACTCTCTAAAATGGTAAGATACTTTCTCTATCTAAAACTTGAAATTTAATATAGTTTCTCTATCTAAAATGTTTGGTATAGTTCCCTCTCTAAAAAGTTTCAAGTTGTTTCTCTTTCTAAATGTTGATATAGTTTCTCTCTCTTAAACTTAAAATTTGATATAGTTCTAAAAAGGTCGAAAAAGTTTCTCTCTAAAAATTATAGGTAATTTTTCTCTCTAAAATTTAACATAGTTTTTTTTTTATATTTTTTAATTTTCAAAAATTTATGAATATCTATCACTCTAAAGCTTAAAATTTGAGATAATTTTTCTCTTAAAATTTTTTTGAGATAGTTTCTCTTTCTAAAAATTTGGTTATTATCTCTCTCTAAAATTTTAAGATACTTTCTCTCTCAAAAACTTGAAATTTGAGATTGTTTCTCTCTCTAATTTTGTTTTATAGTCTATCTTTCTCTCTCTCTAAAATTTGTTATAGTTTCTATGTCTAAAATTTTAAGTTACTTTCTCACTCTAAAACTTGAAATTTTAGTATAGTTTCTATGTATAAAAATTTTGAGATATTTTCTCTGTAGAAAAATTTTAAGTAATTTCTCTCTAAAATTTGATATAGTTTCTCTTTTTAAAATTTTAAAATTTTAAAATACTTCCTCTCTCTAAAACTTGAAATTTAATATAGTTTATCTCTCTAAAAGATTTGAAATAATTTCTAAAATTTTTCAGTAGTTTCTTTAATATAGTTTCTCTTTTTAAAATTTTGATATACTTTTCCTATCTAAAAAAGTAGTTTCACTTAGTAATTTGTGGGGATATTTTGGTAGAATTAATTGTATTTAATAATGTGAGCAGGTCCAGTGGGTGGGTGAATGTAATTATACGCGTACGGACCATATATTTGAAAGTGAGGTTCTGATTTTTAACTAGTTTTAACACCTCTGAGACCTCCCAACTATTATGATGCCAAGAGTAAACATCTTCACCATTATCCTGACATACCATACCTTAAAAAGAATGGCTATATCCCCTTCCAAATAAAGGAGCCATTCTTCTTACACCTTGAATCCCCAGCAAGAGTAATGATCTATTTTGCCAACAAAACCTCGTTCCATAAATGATATTGTCCATAGATACTCCATCACCATTTAGTTAAAAAGAGTTTTATTCATAACCCTCAGCCTTCTAATTCCTAACTCCCCCTTTCTCATTGGAGTGCATGTTTCCTGTTCTCATTATTACCACCCCAGAGGAAAAACATTCATAATATTTTCTAGCTTAAGCATTTGTTTGTTGGGCATATACAACAAAGACATAAGATAAACATGTAAATGAGAAACGGTCGATTTAATTAAAGTGATCCTAGATGCTTAGATTTCCATAAATCTAGCTTATCATTAAATTTTTGGATCACCCTAGCCCAAACAGACCTCGGCAGCCTACCATCGATCATAGGTATCCCAAGACCCAAATAAACCCGCCAATCTTGTCACCACCTTATCCCCACCTGCAACACCAATTGTATCCACCTCACAATTTCTAAAGAATTTCCTCAGAAATTTAAGTTTTTCTTTCACAGCATCACAAAACCAAGGTGTCTTCAGCATATTGAAAATGAGAGATATTGACTAGAAAATTGAAATTATCCAATTTTATATTGGCTGTCAGCCAAGTTATGGATTTTTCATATTATATATGAAGACATAAAAAACTATCTTAATTTGCATTGTCAATCAACTATGCTCATGCTTATCTACGTCCTCTTACAAGGAAGAAATATATCCACTCAATGCATAAAAAGATAATAGTTAGTTACATCTTACCTTTATAAAAAAA